ACGGGCGGTGGCCCGTCGTGAATGTCGCCAATCCCGCAGTCATTTGCCCACGACCACCCCTTTAAGCCGGAGGAGCCGGCTCGAGGCAACTTGATGCCAATTGAATGCGAAATATGCATTAAGCGGAATTGAAGCAATTTTAAGATGCAACCAATTGTCAGCTGGATATACCTTTAGTCTTACCTCCGGCTTTAACAGCTCCGCACTAATTGTTAACGTTCTAATGAGACGACTTTAAAGCCCCACAAAAGCGCTTGTGTAAAGTGAGACGAAAAACAATTAACTAGTCTACCCCTAAAACCCGCACGTCAACATCAAATTAGTTTGAGGATTAACACGTTTTTTACATGTCCTGCCAGCGAGCGAGAGGAGGTCAAAGGGGTTGATGGTAGTCGAAAAGGTGTGTGAAGCGGGCGGGTGTGGGCGGTGGCGTGTCCGTGCTTAATTACGCATACGACACGTTGACTGGCGGATTTTTAGTTTATTTGTGAGAGCCCCTTGCTCAGTTGGGCATGAAATGGGTTTATAGTTACCAATTATTTTCGGTCATGGCTAAAAATGTGCCCCAACCTGTCTATTATTAACAACTGAAACTATATTAAGCATCTCATTCGGGCAGCCGTGGTCCCTTTTTCTGCCCCTTCACTGCGTGACTAGCTGCCGAGTGCAGGGATTATGTGCATTTAAATAAAGTTTTGCTCGAACTGACAAAGTTTGCAGCCAGCTCCAAATAGGCTTCATTGCGCCATTGTCATGTACCCGATGCCCGGCGCTCGGCACTCTGTCAATATATCTTTAAGCTAAAATCACTGGCACAATGTGCGTATTGTCTGGCTCCAAATTTAATTCTTACGTGACTGATTTATGGAGTCTTCGTGTGGAGGCGAGCAAGAACTGTGGCAATGTATTGGGCTATACAGAAACGCATCGATTGCGAGCAAAGCTCATAAATAAAGGCAGACAAACCTCGGCTTGGCTTAAAATAAAAGTTGCTGTTGCAAAACAAAATTCAAAAAAGAAATAAACCAAGAAAACGCAATAAAACTGCGCTGCATCGCATCGAACAAAAATCTTGTGCTGATTTACCCGCTGCGCCTCGAGTGCAGCAAACAGCCACTAATAAAAGTTTCTGCAGTTCACAGGCGTTGATGTTTGTTGTGCGGCTATACTTTCAATGCGGTTGCACACTCACACACACACACTCTTACACACACGCACACACGCACACACTCACAACTCACGAATGCCGGTCAGCGGAGAAAATTTTTGGCTTTTGTGGAATTTCAACAGCGAATGGCTATCAACCGCAAGGCAACCCAGCATCCGGCATCATCCAACTTCTCGACACACGTACGCCTGGGAAAAAGTTAATTTGGCCAACACTTTAATAATGAGGTTTGTATTGAAGCCAGCTTGATTGACTCCTAAAGTTGCCTATTCTCTTTACGGACAACTCCATTTTAATGAACTGCTGCCTAAATTACGAAAGCCGTGAAAATTTGTCAAATAAAATATGTAAGACTATGGATCTTTTTAGCTCGTAATGCTAAATTTTATAAAAAAAAAACCTATACATGTGTATTTGTATACATATTTTTATGTACATAAACATAAAATCGTTAAATTTTCAAAAATGTATATAGTGGCGCTAGCTAGCGGAAATTATAGAAGTACAAAAATACCACAAAAAGTGGTGCCACCTCGACTATAAAAAGTACTCATGCAAGCAGTGCATCATTTGGTGTCAACCGTTGGCCAAGCAGTTAAATTATTGAATTATAGGTTAAATTTCGATTTAATAAAGCTTTTAACTGAATAACGGATATTTAAGGCAATTCACTTAAAATTTTATTTTATTTAAAAGTATATCCAATCTGTCCTGTTTGGAAAATCTTGATTGCTCAGAAAATGTCAACAATAAAAAACAACAATAATTCGGAAAGATAATTCGTTAGTCCGACAATTATTCGTTTGACTCCAGCCCTGTGCTCTGCTCTCATATAACACAATAATAATGTACTTAACAGAATAACAATTAAACGCACCTATGATTTAGCTAAGTGAAAATATATTCTATGGCCATCGGTGTTTCTTATGATACATTAAAAAATAATTTTTTAAGTACCTTCCTTGCCATGCGAAATGTGATGGCAAAGCAGTGCCTCGCAAGCAGTGCCAAATACAACATATTTTTACAAAGCAGTTCACAATTTCAATTAAATTTTAGTTCCGTATTGGTGGAAATTTTCAATCGTGGCTCTGATTAAAGGTTAGGAAAAGAAAAATGGATAATCACAATTAATATGTGTATACAAGAGTTTGTCTTGACTGACTGAATGATTTAACAACCAACCAGCGTAAAAAAAAAAAAAAAAAAAAAAAAAAACGATTTCCATTAAACACAAAACGAATTCTTTACTGAAATTATAAAATTTAGACGTGGGCGCCAATAATTTTGTATTTTTTTGAAGTTGATGCGAGTTACACAAATGATTTCGATAGCACTTGCACTTGCAAGGTTATTCATATGACCCCAATGATGACGGTTGATTTCTTCTACATATGACTCCGAAAATAGGGCCGTCGTTTGTGTTTTATGATTACTTTGTTGAATAGCAAATTGATAGAGATGCGCGGGACAATTGGGTGAGGGCGCAGGCATTTGTATAGATGAGTGTTAAAAATTATACCAACCAATACGCACGTGGGCCACGTCCCGTTGGGTAATGCTATTATTTAAACAATAATAACAACAGCATTATTGTAATTGGAATGAAATGGCATTTTGATCTATTGAGCCAGAGAGATTTATAGGCAAGGAAAAGAAAACCCTATGGGTATAACAAGTTAAACATATATTTCCTGCTTTATATGTTATATGCATATCTCACAATTGTATAATCCGTATAATCCACTTCTAGAGTTGTCACGAAAGAAACGCAATTAAACTGGCTAAGTAACATCCAGCCCGTGCACCGCTGTGAAAACCACTCAAGAAAGTGGCTGCCAGCGGAAGTAAGTTTTTGCTTACTGGCAAGCATATATTCAATTAGGTGTTTGTTGCTGAGACAAATTGATTAATTTGCCAACAGAAACCCAACGGTCCCCTGGCAACCGTCAAGCAATATAAATACAATAAGAACTCTGCACTTCGGCAACAGTCGGTGTAGAACCAGTTTTCAGCAAACAAACCCGCCGCCAACACCGAAGCCTCGTTTTGGCCAAAAACCCACGTATTCGCCGAGACCGAGCATCGCTTCCAGATCTTAAGATCAACTACCGGTGAGTGTCGAGTACTATTTTGTGTACGTCACCAAACCAATTAGACAAAAGCTGCTGTCAGTTCAAGTGTCACGCCCACTAAACGGCTGTGACGTATAAGCCGCGTTTAGCGCTCGATTCATATTACTCATACGTACGGCGCGTGTTGGCAATTAGCTTAGAAAAATATTAACAAATCGTTTATGTGGCATAAAATTAGCATAACTAGAAGTTTTCCCACGATTTACATAGTTGACTAGTTAATAAATGATTACCAGCATTTTGTTTGAGCAACAATCGTATAAAATGTAAACAAAACAAAGTTTTAAACAGACTTCGAGATGTCGATGCTTAGATACCCTTGCGTACATATGGTATGCTTGCTGCACTTTGCTCTCATGTGCAATTGATCAGTGTCTTGTCAATCAGTATAGATCGTTGTTAAGAGTTCGTTCTTAAACATTATTAGCATTTCGGACTGTTTTAGTTATTGGTTCGGGAATACAAATAGCTATAATTGATCGACGATTTGATGACCAGCTTAAGCAAGGCAACGCAAAGAAGGCAGGGAAAACGTTCTCAGCCTGAGCACAAAAATACATACTATATTCAATCGGAAATATGCAGGTATCACATAATTCGCGTCTTAACTGTTATACCCTCTTTAAGGGTATTGAAAGTGACGCTACAGATGACTGGCTGCCAGACAGCTTGTAGCCGCTGGCCGTAGCGTTAAACCAGTCGCTGGCATCGTGTCCGGTTGGCACAAAAGAATTTCACGCATTTTATTGGGGCGTAACTTATTATTATTGCTGCTCCGGCTGGGTCTACGGCGCCGGCGCCAACTCCCGCTGGCATCTGGACTAGCCCGGCCAACTCTGTTCTACGTTGTACGATTTTAGCTGCAGTTAATTAATGAGCAATCGGGCGACCAACAACTTGGCCGGCCGCATTCGATTTGCATTAATTACAGTTTTTAGCATATGATATCGGTTGCAGTTCGGCTCACTCCGTTTCCTTGACACTTCCTGCTGTTACTTTCCATGCGATTCTCTCAGCTTTCTTTCCACAAGTCGGTGCATTTTTATTAATTTTATTTGTACTTGAGAGTGGGGAATTTTTTTGATTTTTAGATATTTTGTTTGACATTTTACCTTATCCTCTGATTTTAAATAGATAAAATTTAACTTTGCAAAACAGATAGTGTTTGTTTTTTTTAGAACGCAATATTTGTAAACTCGTAAAAATTTGAATTTATTTTCTTAATTTAACCATTTACTCATTCCGATGTAAATACAAAAATATTTAACAAGTCATTGTCTTTGTCATAAAAATACCATAAAATCTGTTAGCCAGATTATTATGCAAAACTTAACAAGGGTCCACGCGACTTCGATCTGGTAGCTCCTTGCAACCTTCAGTAAACAAAAAAAAGTCCAGCCCACACATAATTTGCATATAGAACATCGAGCAAATTGGCATTTTATTGAATTTGTATTAATTTTATAGTTTTTTTCCTTCTTCTTTTTGTTCACATAGCTGACGCACTGGGGGCTCTCTGAGACCGGCTTGAAGCGCTGTTGTTGTTGTTGTTGTTTTTGTTGCCGCAGTTTCAGACTTCTTGACGTTGTTAAGCTTTCGCATCTGAGTTTGGGTTGCCTATAAAATAACAAGAGACAAACGTGCGTTTTATTATTTCAACATCGCACTTGGCGCGCAACGGTCGCATATGCTACAGCGCTTTACTCTATCATAAGCTAGAAAATTTAGAAAACACACACACACACATATACATCTATCTATTTGCTTGACAGAGATCTTGACCATTATCAGCATGTGCAACAATAGGACTCTACTGCTACTTAGCATTGCACTGACCGTTCTGTGTCTGTTGCAATGTGGCGAGGCGCTTCCTTCTATAGGACACTATGGCAAGCGATTTGGTATGTGATTACAACCACATGGAGAAATTCCTTATATTATATTATATTTTATTTTGTATTTTATATTCTATTTTGATCTACAGATCCCATGGGCGGCATTGATTTCATTCAGATTTGTCTCAACAACTGCGCCCAGTGCAAGAAAATGTTTGGGGATTACTTCCAGGGCCAGACCTGTGCCGAGTCCTGTCTCAAGTTCAAAGGCAAAGCCATACCGGATTGCGAAGATATTGGCTCTATAGCGCCGTTTCTGAACGCGCTCGAATAGAGGTTTCAAAGATATATCCGACTCTTATAAACTGTATGTGTATGTGTGTGAGGAGTGTGTGCATTTTTATCGCCTGTGACTCAGACGCGTATTTGGGTCAATGCGATGCGATGCTCAGCACGATCTTGGCTGATGACGACCACGACCACGACGACGACGACACTGAAACTGGCGCTTACTATATACGATTTAATGGCTTTAACTACAATATTTAACTAGAGTTTCCGGAAAAAACCTCAGCTCAGCACGTAACCAAAGAAGTTCCTATAGTACTTACTTACCAACTAACATATGGTGTTAACCAGCATTCAATAATAACAAGAATTTAAAGAAACATTAACTTTGTTTTTATTTTTTATTTAAATGATAGTTATTGCATATACAAAACTTACAACGAAATATTCGTATGTTTAAACATTATTAAAGGTCTTGTGTGTTATTAAACGACCTTCTTGTAACTTACCCTGTATTTTTGCTATTTTAAAATAATACATATATACAAAAAATGTATGGAAAATGCATGGAAATGTTGAAAATCACTATAGAAAATGGCAGTGTGAAACTAAAACTGACTGTCTTTAGAATGCTTTAGTGCGAAGGATGCGTTGCAGCAAGAGAGAAGACTAGTAAAAGAGACTAAGCGGTAGTGGGAGATACTAAGAATGTAGAACTGAAAAACAAATGCCAAAGACTTGTTGTTTTTGGCTTCTTGCCAAAGGTGTACAGCTGTGCCCAATATGGTATGCATGTAGAAAAATAATTAATAAAATGATGTTTACTTTCTAAAGTTGAGCAGCGTGTCGGGTATTTCATTGATATAGTTCTGGAAATGAAATACAAAATTTAATAAATATATTTTTCATTATAAATCCACTCGACTTACATAGACAGACGAGTCCAGACCGTGACTGCCGAAGTCAGCCCACTTGCTTAGATCCATAGAGGGTATAATGCCGCTCTTACAGGGCACGCGTGGATTGCTATGGAGAGCATAAATTTAGATCGCATCTCAATTATCAGCTAGAAACTTACATTTCATGATCTGGCAGAACCATGGGATAGATTTGCACGGTGTCAATCAAATCGGTATTGTCGCAAATCAAACGCGAAAGCTTCGCCTTGCGTATTTCCTGCAGCTGCTCGGGTGTAAAGGAGGAAGGCTGATTGGGCAGTTCATACCAGAAGCGATCGCCGCGACGCAAGTAGCTCATCTGCGTGGCAATTATACACGCAAACGTGGGTCCCAGCATGGAGCCAGGCAGAGATTTCTCTGATACGCCACCAGACCATAAATCAATATCGGCAGGATGTCTAACAAAGAGTGAAAGGAGCAAATGTTTATAGGCTAAGTCCAGCAGCCTAATTTATACTCACTCGAATATGCTGCCATAGCGCAGTACTGTCTCGTTTGGCATGGAGCCGTACATCTCATCCCACGTATTGGATGTGGGCAGACCGCAGAACTTGCGGAACTCCATGTAGCCGGGTATGCCAAATTCGCGTCCACGCTGCATGTTGAATGAGACCAAATCCATGCCAAAGCGCGCGCCCTCCTTTTTAAAGAGATGATTGGTAACCTCTTGGGTGATGGAGTCATCCATGGCTTGTGCCACTTGATTCATTAGACCCATAAAGTATTCATCCAGCACGCCAGCTCTATACAAATCATAGGGACGTCGAATAAGGTCCGACAAACGCTTGGAGGCTATGAATTTGTGTGCCTTCGACCAGCGCTCTACGGCGGTGGGCAGCAATGAGTGGCCAAAGCGGAATGCAGCGCCAGCAAATGAGTCAATGATGCCAGGATTGACATTCGGATCATATCCATCCCAGTAGCCATCCTTCTGCAACACGAGGCCAAACTTCTCCATGACTTCCTTGCCGAGCAGAATGGGCAGAAACTCGTTGTAGGTGACATGCTGCACTATGGCAATGTTGATGCGTCGCGCCTCCTGGAACAGAGTCTCGTCGTCCCAGTGATGGTTAATTTGAGCCAGACCCGTGGCCAGACGATTGTGTTCCCTTGCCATGAGCGTGTGCATGCAGGTCAGCACCAGCTGCTCGTTAACACGGATCTCACCGCCCTCGAAGCAATACATGCTCTTGTTGGGGCGCGTGCAGCCCTCATCGGGTATGTCCAGTTTCAGAGGCAGCAAATCCTTCAAGCCATACTCCTGGAATACGGGATTCATGCGCATCAGACCGCCGTAGCCAGTGCGCAGCTTGCGCGCAAACGATTCCTTAACGCCATAAACAGTGTTGGCATCAATGACGCCAGTCAACGTGTTAAACTGCTGGCGAGAACCTGATTTGGAATGCAATGGGCTTGTGATATCATCAATAATCGGTGTTAAGTTAAGGCGCTACTCACCCAAGCGACAGCCGGGTCTTGGTGATGGGAAGCCGCGTACGAAATCAATACACTTGACATTAAAGAGCCGATAAAAGTAGTCGTCATCGGGAATGCGTATCTCATTGCAATATGGATGCTTCCGGTGCAGAGGTCGCTTGCAGCACTCCTCCGGATCGTTGCGATTAATGGGATCTGCAATTAGATTGAATGGCTCTTTTCAACTATTCCGTTCACACAGTTGCCTGACCTACCCAAAGGCGTGCCAGTCAGCGTAAAGTCGTGATCCATGAACTGGCCCCAGGCAATGACCATAACGGTGCCCGCGTGATCATGATACCCATCATCTGGATGCATTGTGCGCGAGACCACACGCGAGTAGGGCAAGTCGCGGCCGGTAACCGAAATGCGCGGTGCATTGATGCCATCCGCATAGAGTGGACCAATCAGGCGCTGAAAAGGCGCATTGGTAGCGCCCCAGGTGGGATGCTCAATATTGTTGCACAGCCCATCGAAGCGGCGATATTTGCCCGGTCGGCATTCGACGCCAGCAAAGAACGGCGGGCAGACCTCGCGAATGAGCGTCTTGGAGGTGTCTATGGTGGGCAGACCTTTCTCGATTTCCTCATAGGATAAGCCATAGCTGGAAGAAAAGATTGTAGATTAGTTGCCTGCCAAGTATAGCTAAGTGTTGACAAATTATATCTAACTATATCTGAATTGCCTGCCAAAAACTGCGGATATCGCCCAACATGGCATTTTCCTGTCGCGCCAACTGTTTGGTTCTCCTTTGAGCGGATATTTTTCAATCTTGTCAAAGATTGCAAAATTATCGAATTAGCCTAGTTCGGCACGCAATTAACGCACTTTTGGCCCGGCTTACGGTGACAGACATTGATGCTGATATTTTAGATTTGACGTTGACATCAATGGCAAAATATTCGCTTTCAATTTAAGTCACTTGCCGTTTTATTGAAGCTGACTGCTAGGCCTGTGGCCCGTGAATTAAGCGCTGGTAATCTTTTATCTATTGCTGGCAAAAGTGCCGAAAAACTAAGTGGAAAAACTCTGCTGTTGCAGCATAATAAATTTGCGTCGGACACTTCCTCAAGTGCATGGGAAAGTGAGAAAAACTGCAGTAACCTGAGCAATGGAAAGGCAGCTGAAGCTAGGGCGAACCCATTGTTGTTGGCTCTGAAGATAGTGCAAACAGATATGAAGCGAAAAAAAAAAACTTAACAGTCAATTGGGCTGGCAGTTAAATGGACCGAAGGTCCATAAATTAAAACAGCTGAGAAAATGGCCAAGAAAAAAGGTGCTGCTAAAAGAAAACTTTCAAGCAGAGTATTAAAAGCCTTTCGAAAAGCATTGCAAATTAACTGATCCCTTACTAAATGGAATAGCAATTTACTGACTTTAGACAATCTACTTCTTAATATTGTATACATTATATAAGTTTCCTTAAGTTCAATTAAACAAGAACCCCTATGCCTGTACTTGTGTATATCCAATTAAAAATATTGAAAGTAATCCACAATTCCTTAAGTTAAAAAAAATATTTTTAATTCATGCTGTTCGCAGCTGGAATCAACACACCTTTCAGGAAATGCTATATAATATTGTTTTTCCCAATTTAAAAAACGTTATTTTATTTTTAATTAATTGAATCAACTCGGCACCAACCACAATATGAGTTAGAATAGCTGTCTGTGAAAATCCGAATCTTTAAATTAAATAAAAAAAATGTATAAATTAAATCTGCTTCCATTCTAATCCTGCACTTTACATAATCGACCATTAAAAAACTGCTCTAAACTGCCATAAAAATAGTTGTAACATTTTTATCATATATAAAACGTTTGTATCTGATATTAATTGAGCCGCCGACCAGAGGCCATAATCATAGGATTATACAACAGCAGCTGCATTGCTGATGATCCTCCTCGTACTCATGTTAGATGAGCTAAGCGCGGAGGGTGTCCACAGAAGAAAGTCGCATTAAAGCACAGGCTGCAACTGCGAATGGAACTGTGGAACGGCGGCTGTGACCAACTGACTTGGCAACCCGCTTACCCACAAACACCAGTTGGCCAACCATAAAACTGGTAATGCTATGTTGCATCCTCAGCTGGCTGCTTCTTGTTTTCTGGTCGGGGGCAGCTCACTCTCACTGAGGCTGCCATCCCGAACAGACGATGCATTGCATAATATTGCTTTTGTTTACATTTTGCGCAGCGAGCACAACAAATAGCTGGCAAAATTTTTGGAGGCGAATAGAAATAAAAAATGGAGTTGCGCCAGTTTGAAGAAGTTTGCAGATGGCGCATCGACAGAGTCAGGCTAGCACATGACTGCAGGTGGCCAAGTGGCCATCAGTCAAAGCCACCGACAGCGGCGACGACAGTAAATTTGGCATTGCAATTAGCATTTGCATGTGCCAAACTTTCAAATTCATCCAAGCCGCAGAACCTTGAAGCCAGGCTCAGCACCAGTTCGGTTTAGTTCAGTTCCAGCCTCAAACTCATACATATTTATGACTGCAGGCGGTCTGGACGGGCTCCAGCAACAGCAACAGCATCAGCACGAGCACGAGCACGATTTAAGTGCCATGTCATGCGTTATTTGGCAATCATTTATTGGGGCTGTGGGCGTGTCAGGCGCAACTTTCAAAATGCGTTTAGCATTTATTACCGTAACATTTACTTACGTGCGCGCCAACTGTATGGATATATCGAGCAGCAGCTCGCCCACGGTGGCCAGCTCCTCGGGCTTCCAATCGGACTTGGGCTCGGCCACATCTGCAAAGTGCATCAGATATATAGATGTAATATGAATAGTGTGCTTATCTCTGCATTGTTTAAACTTCTCCACACTTACGTATACGCTTGCGTGCATCCGAATAGGCCGCATTGATGGCATCGTAGGTAATACATGTGCCCGCACCGCTGCTGTAGGGGTTTCTGCAAGGGAAGGGCAAACAAGAAGATTATTGAATGCTATTGACAATGGCAAGCAATTTGTCGCTATCACATGTTCACCACGCACACCAGTCACACGCCCACCCACACATACACATACACACACACCCACGCCGCCACAGTCTGTGCAATGTCTGATAATCAAATTATTGACGGGCCAGCGAGTAAGGCAGCAGGCAGCAGCAGAAGGCAGCTGGCTAAAGGAAACGGAAATGTTGGCCACAGTTGAATACGTGACTTAGTCGAGGCAACATGCAGCAAGCACGCAGCCAGCTGAAGAGCATATTGTGGGCTCATCGTGCAACTAATTTGAATGCAACAATGCAGCAGCTGTTGCACAAGCACTGCCCAGCATCTGCATGGAGTCAAAAGCTGCTTAAGTTAATGAAATTGTTGCTATTGTGTGTTTTAGGCATATTCTTATTGAACTACTACCAAACGGAGTTGCAGGGGCAGGTGAGCTAAAAAATGTATTGCATATGCACAGCATTCTCGTACCTTTTGACATGCTTCTAGCGCTGTGCCTTGGAACTGCCACGCCCTTTGCGTTATGCACTGCGACCGCCAGAACGGTGTGATTTCTGTGCCAACATCAATAGCGTGCCACGCCTCAGCAACCTTAGTCCCGCCACATTCGAGGCAAAGTATGCATATAGTGGTGCACCCGTCATTGTCAGCGATGCCATGCAGAACTGGACAGCCATAACGGTGGGTTAGCCAGCCAAATAAAACAAAAGCTACTTGGTTAACAAATACTGTGCTTAGCTCTTCAATTACTGGTACTTTCGGGATGTCTATCGCAAGGCTAAGCGCAAGCAGCGCATACGTGACTGCCAGTTTCTCCCCTACAAAACGGGCTTTCAGGATATCTACGAGGCTATGGAAATGCCGCGGTCGCGCGTCGAGTTGGAAGCGAATGAGGCACCTTGGTACTTTGGCTGGAGCAATTGTCATGCCGAGACAGCCGAAGAGTTTCGCAGGCATTATGGCAGGCCCTACTTTCTGCCTGAGCGGTCGGAGAACAATGCAGTTGATTGGTTTTTCATAGGCACTGCCGGACTGGGCGCCCAAATGCACGTGAGTATAAGGGTTTCAGCTTAAAAGAGGTAGTGATGAGCTTCTTCAAATCCTCTTAGATTGATAACGTGCGTTTGCCGTCGTGGCAGGCGCAATTGGCGGGCAGCAAGCGCTGGCTGCTTGTGCCACCGCCCGAATGCTATTTCCAGTGCAAACGCTTCGAAGTGGTTGTGCAACAGGGAGACATAAGTAAGTCGAGAGGTAAATGAGGTCTTAGCAAGCCTTTAAGTTAAATTTTTGCCTATTTTATAGTCGTTCTGGATACGAACAGATGGTATCATCAAACGTTTGTACAACCCGGCGCCATTAGCCTAACCATTGGTGCCGAATATGACTAACTCAATTCCATTATAAACTGGGTTTTTCCCAGCAGGAAACAAAATGCAACAGTTGCAGCAGCACGCACACACACACGCACACGCACAGCATCTCGGGCCAAATAAATAAGCTAAACTGTAACTGTTACTGTAACTGTAACAGTAACAACTTAACTTAACTTTTAACATTGCATTTGCGTTTGTAGCCGGTTTGTTAATTAAATGCCAAAACACGCAAATTTCTCGTCTTGCGAACTGCTCGAAAAGCCCCCTAAATAGGGGGCAAAGCGACTTCCTCAAATGGAGCGACATGTAAAACGCGTGTCAGGTGACAACGATACATGTTAACAATGCGTAAGTATTAAATAATTACAGCAACAGCAACAACAACAACAACAAATGCAACACACACCGTAGCACCCAAGACATTGCCCAGACACGCAATGCAAAATCCATTTAAGCAATGGACGACATTCTTCGCGAACTTGCATCCATATTTTGTGTGCAACATGCTGCATACGCAGTTAAAGGGGTCTAATGATATTGAGATAAGGTATGCAACAGACCAGGCTAAATATTTTACTTTTACCGTCTATCTACGCGTCTCAGCCTTTTAGTTAATTACATCCTCAATAGGGCGTGTACTCAAGGAAGTGCTAAAATTGCAGCCATTTAAAGTGTTAGTACCTTAGATTAGTTTGCTTATGTTAATTAAAGTTCAATTTACATATGTTAATATATTTAAATGAGGCTTAAGTACTTAAAAGTTGAAAATATATTGAAATATATAATAATAACTATGATATTAGCGCTCCCAATCAAGATTAATTTGCATCTTATAAGCTTGCATTTCCATGAAGGAAATCTAATAAATTAATATTTACAATATCTTACAAAATTCAATCATGGTACTCTTACACCCAATATTATATTTATTATTTTATATTTTTTTTTGTTATATAACTTTCTCTGCTTTAAACGGATTTTTGAGCTAAAATATCCGTTCTTATATTGCTGAAAATACAATTTCATGTCTAGTTAGGGTGCACAACAAAGGCTGCTTAGATTTGGATTTTGTTTTTGGGGAAAATTTGTCAAATGCAAAATTGTTGCTGGCACTTAACTGGTCTGCCAGTTAATTTTAAAATTTATTGCTGATGGAAAGTTCAATGTGCGCATTGGACTGGCCGGCGAGCAGTCAGAGATAGAGTTTTGGGCCAACTAGAAAGTTGCTTGCATGCGGCACACACTGGAAGCGACTTGGTGCGACTGGGACTTGCTATCCTGATTGGGTTGCTGTGGCACAATGAATGTGCATCTTGTTGCACTGTGTGCACGTTTGCAGGTGCGCGAATAAACTGTTGCGAATGCTTCCTGCTGAAAGTGAAACTGTATCTGGTTGCCGGGGCCGGCATGGCGTATGCGTAATATTGCGAATTGTGAGTAATTGCAAAAGCATGTCGTAAATTCACAGACACAACATCCCAACATCAGTTATCTATATACTCGTGAATTTTTGGGGTCTTGTGGCATAACCAAGACGATCGCCGGGGCTACCACACTTACGCTGACGTGCGTCCAGCAGAGAAAATAGTTTACTAAACATATATCAGAGCTGCAGCATCAGTTGCAGCAATCGCAGCCGCAGCAGCTACAGCAATGAAAGTGTCCCGGGTCGGGAAACCTGTATTTATCATTTAAGTAGGTTGTTGTGGCTGCAATTGTGGACTGCATTTTTTGCCGGCCGCAACAAAGTTCAATAGCCAGGGCAAAGCCACATAGTTGCCGAGTCACGTTTTACGCCAGGCAACCCCAAATTAGCTCAACTCTCTGGTGACCCCTATATTAAATTTGTTATGGCCCGATCGTGCGACATTTAAAATTGTAACCATCTGCGGCAGAGCTGCAGGTTTGTGGCGCATGGTCGAAGTTCAGAAATTGTCTTTTGCCACTTTTTTCAAAGTCACATTTCGAAATCGCTTCAAAACTTTAGTTTGCAATCAATGGAAGCGGCAGCTGTTTGCCGCACTGCGCCACAGGTGCCTTTGGCGTCTCAAAGTGTTGCAATGCCATTTATTTGTATAGCTGCTGTTGCTGTTTTTTTCGTATTTGTTATTGGTTTGCTGCTGCCGCAGCTGCCTTTTTGTTGTGCGGTTTTTACCAATAAATCTGTTGCGGCCTGTCAAGTGCCGTCAAACCGACGCGTTCGCATCACATGACTCGGTCTTCGAGTTGTGCCAAAGACAGAGTATCCGAAGTCGAGGTCAATAGCTTAGCTGTACATCAGAAGTTAACATTTAATTCTTTCATTCAATTCATTCATTCAGAGTTTATTTATATTTTAACAAAAGAGCATATAGGCCAAGTCACATGTGTTTTAATGCGTTGCATTCAATATTGAATTTTTAATTAGGTCAAATATATTTAATATAATGTGCTCTTTATGTGCAGACGACTATATAAGCCACAGTAAACTTCCATTAGGCAAAACAAGTACTGCAAACACTGTCCTCAACATGAGATTTCTCACAATTATTTTCCTGCTCGCAGTTTGCTTCTGTGCAATGTGGGGTGTAAATAGTCAACGGGTGCCCAGATGCCCTGCGTGCACCAGGGAACTTAATCCTGTTTGTGGCACCTGGAGACGCGGCAGGTTAACCAGCATCTGTACTTTTAGCAATGAGTGCATGATGAGATATCAGATATGTACCCGTAATCAAGGTATGCAAATGAATTTGTTCTTTACAGGCTTTTGCTAACTATTTTTGTTTTGAATCAGGTTGGAAGCTCGCACATATGGGAAAATGCAAAAGGCAAACAAATGATTGCAATATTCTTTTGACCTCAAACTCCGGCTGATCACTAAGCACCTATTCAACAATTTAAAAAGTTTATAAATATTTTTTAATCAATATAACAAAAGCCAATAGCGCACAAGTGTCATGTATTTTTATTCGTTGCATTGTATATTGTGTTTTTAATTGGGTCAAGTAAATACATATTGATTACATATAATGTGTTCTATATGAGCAGATCACTATATAAGCCACAGTCAAGTTCCAAAAAGCTTCAGAAGTACACTGTCCTCAACATGAGATCTGTCACAATTCTTTTTCTGCTCGCAGTTAGTTTCTGTGCAGTGTGGGGTGTAAATAGTCAACGGGTGCCCAGATGCCCAACTGTGTGCACCACGGAATTTAATCCTGTTTGTGGCACCTGGAGACGCGGCAGGTTAACCAGCAACTGTACATTTAGCAATGCTTGCAGGATGAGAGTTCAAATATGCACCACTAATCAAGGTATGAACATAGAATTGTTATTTAATGGCATCTACTAACTGTTTTCATTCTCAATCAGCTTGGAGACTCACCCATACTGGCAGTTGCAGAAGAAATTCAAATGATTGTAGATCGATTTTGACCTCAAACTCCGGCTGATCACTTACCACCTATTCAACAATTTATCGAGGAAATATATTTTTAAATTTATAAAACAAAAGCCATTATGGCACAAGTGGCATGTAATTCAATGCGTTGCATTCAATATTGTGTTATTAATTGAGACAAGTAAATACATATTGACTACATAAAATGTGTTCTATGTGAGCAGTGGACTATATAAGCCACAGTCAGCTCCCAAAAAGCTTCAGAAGTACACTGTCCTCAACATGAGATCTGTCACAATTCTGTTCCTGCTCGCAGTTAATTTCTGTGCTATGTGGGCTGTAAATGGTCATCGGGTGCCCAGATGCCCAACTGCGTGCACCAGGCAACTTAGCCCTGTTTGTGCCACCTGGAAACGTGGCAAGTGCACCAGCACCTGTACTTTTAGCAATGAGTGCGTGATGAGACATCAGATATGCAAAAAATCTCAAGGTATACATATAGAATTGTTATTTACTGGCATATATTAACTGCTTAAATTCTCAATCAGCTTGGATATTGACCAATTCTGGCAATTGCAAAAGGGAATCAAAGGATTGCAGAGCGATGTTGACCTCAAACTCCGGCTGATAACTAAGCACTTATTTAACAATGTATAACATTTCAACTAATCAGTAACTAATATACTAATATATTGATTTTTTTTTATATTTGATAATATATGTATACATCATTTATTTTTCATCTTGTGCTAATGCAGTTGTCCGTTTTGAAGAGCTCTGAGCTGCTCCTGTCTCACAGCAGATCCAATCACTCAGCATGCCTTTAACAACTGACACTAAGCTCCACTGTGGCTACCCGCTGAGATGTGTGCCCCATTCATATGCGAATATGTCAGGCCTAGACGCAAGTTGAAGACTCGCTCCCAGGCGTGCAGCTTTTGCCCCCGTTGCCCATTTGGCAAGACAAACCGTGTCAACACGCCGCCACGTTGTTGTCGCTGTTAATGATTAGCTCAAAGCCGGCTGTCGTTTTTGTTGTCGTTGTCGTAGGTGTAGAGTATCGACAGGCAGTGCATGTTGCCACTGCTTTAACAGCACCCAAGATTTATGACTGTCAGCTTAGCATTTTGCCGTTTTGGTGTCAACGTTCAAATATTTGCGCACAAACGTAACCCAGAATACCACAGGCGCATTTTCTATTTGTACTTACAGCGTGCCGCGAAACAAATTCACATTGTAGTCATAGACAGAGGAACGACCCGGTCCGGCCAACAGCAGGGCACAGTCCGAGCCATGAGGCGACTGCAGTTGCGCCCCAAACTGATGATATTGCGCCTGAGCGGCACTCAGCAAACACAGCGCAAGTATTCTGTGAATATCGACAAAAAGAATATAATTATTCGTAATATGTATTAATTGGATTATTATTATTGTTAATATAATATTAAATAGCTTTGCGGTTAGAAGGTTAATTGAAATATTGGCCTGGGCTTAACACATATGAATATTACTAGCAAAATAGCTTTATGCCCGTCGCATGGTCTATCAATCATCAGTTGCAACAACAACAAAGCTAGCCATAGCGGCAACAACAGCTGTCGAATTGCTGCCAATGTAGCCAATTTGAATTGCATTGTTTTTGACTGTCCATTGTTTTTGGGCCACATTGCGCGGCGTCTGGCTGCTTGACAGCTGGCAACCTTGCTTTTATTGAGTCAAATTTATGACTTGAGGCACGTGT